CATCTTTATGGATGACAATGCCAGGCCACATCGCACCAGAGCTGTTCAAGAAGTATTAGAAAACCGAAACATCACAAGATTAGATTGGCCGGCTATGTTACCTGACATGAATTACACTGAACACATGAACACGTCCGGGATTATGTATCAAGAGTTATTTTCAATCGGAATAATCCACCAAGAAATGCCCAAGAACTTATTGTTGCTGCTACAGAGGAATGGGAAAATATCCCTCAGGAAGTAATCAATAATTTGATTATTGGAATGGATAGACGTGTGAATGCGTTGTTAAGAAGTAGAAGGTTCAAATACTGAATATTAAATGTGTTGTTGAATTTTTTATTTTCAGTTGTTAGAGATTGCATTATCTCATTTTTAAAATTTTTGCATCCGGACTGTAATAGTCTTTTTATAACTGATAATTCGTTGAAGTTAAATCCATTTTTTCGTTTTTTAGAAGCTTATAATCTAGATTTAACACTGGGGTCTGCAAGGTTTTACAAAATTTTAAAATATCCAAATAACTCGGGGGGTGCAAGACTTTTGAAAGCGAGTGTATAATGCGCGTACATTGATGTAGACGAGATTAAGTGAGATATTGTTGGATTGTCCGAAATAAGAAGACGAGGCGAAAATACATCCAGGAACAAGCTTTTTGATACACAGACGCCACTGCAAAAATATCCTATCCACAAAGGCAGTATTCACAAGAGTAATATACAGAGTGGGTTTTCTCCCAGATATTAACTTCCTATTTGAGACATTTTTTCCTCGGATCACTCGTTTCCAAAATGTTTCAGTGTTTCAAGATTTTAAAAAACCACCCTGTATATGACCCTCAAGCTCAGTATTAAGTGTAACTTAATACCTGTAGTGTTGGAATACAAAAAAAAACTTTTTTATGCAACTGAGAGCATGTGGAACTTGTGTCATTAGCCACCCTGTGCGAATTATCTGAAGCACATTTTTTTGCAAAAAGACGGACTAACCGCAAAAGAATTGCACTAAATATGGCTTCAAATAGAAATAAAATCTCTCTCAGTAACCAGAATTCATAAAGCTCCTCAACATTAGTCAAACTTTGTCCGTTGAACGTCTATTTTGTTGAGCAGTTTATTACAATTTGTATTATTATTTTTTTATTAGTAGCACGGGTGATTAATATATGACCGAAATGTATCAATAGTGTGCAGATCGCTTTATGCAGGGTGATTGAAAATTGTGGTCATTCCTCTGGAGGTGTTGTCTGGCGTCGTTTTAGGAGTACAAAAAAATTTAAAAAAAATTAATTGCAATTAAAAACTGAGAAATTTCCAAAAAACTATATTATAATACCGCTCTCCTCGCCCTTTGTTGGCGTGAGTTCTTTCAGCTTCTGCTATGTTACTGTAGCATTTCCCCTGAACTAATCGCATATCCGCAAATTCATGAAAAGAAATTCAAAGTAAGTCACAGTTTGACAAATAATTATTATTATTGACAAGGGCTATCCAAGTTGTAGATAAGTTCTATATTGTTGAGGCGGATGAATTTTTTTAAAACTTTTTTTTAGGTTTTTTGCCTCAAAAATTTTTGCCTTAAAAAAACAGAATTTCCTCACGTCTTTTATTACAGATTGATAAATAGTGCTCCTATTTCGCAATAAAAACAAATTATTTGTCAAAAAGTAATCAAGAACTATCACCTAGAGGGTATCCTGCGACACACTTAGG